CAGGGCCTCAGCCTTGCTTATAAGAGAGGGGCCTCGGGCTCCAGCCTGGGAGCCAGCAGCCCAGGTCCCCTTTTCTGGGAGCCCCTAGCTGCCCCCTCTGCTTCCTTGGATTCCTTTTTCACCTTCAAAGGTCACCAGGCTGACTCTGCCCCGCTCTATGGTCATTGCAACCTGAGTGAAGCTGGGGTCAGGGGACCAGTAATGACCACCAGTGGTGTGGGTGTGTACTTGCACGGGAGGGGAAAGGCCAATCCTCGCCCTCAGGCAGGGTTAAGAAAGGGGCCTGCCCTCCCTTCCCATTGTCTCCTCCAATTTTAAGCTGGGGAAGAGGCAGGGGGATGCTTCATATAAGGTTTTATTTTTCATGGAATTTGCATATGTTCTGGTCCATTATGGGAGCTGCTCTTATCAGGACCTAGGACATTTCTTTTGGGGTATCCGTCCAGCTCCCAGCCTTCCTGCAGGAGGTCATATGGTCCATCCCCCTGCCTTCACTTAAGTCCCAGGAAAGAGTTTTCTTTCATTTGCAGCATCTGTTGGGTTGGAAGTCCTTCTCCAAACCTGAGTCCTTCCTGCTTTAGGGAAAGCCTCTGCCTTCCTGTGATCTCCTCCTGTTCCCTCAATGTTGGGAGATACTCACAAGCCCCATCCTTGGCACCCAACATCTTCATAGGCCCTGGAACCCCCATCTAGTTTTCACCAGGGGGAGGGGACTGGGAAGCGTGCTTTGGGAAGGGCAAGTGTAGGATAATGGGGCTGACCCCCAACCCTGGGCCCTTTGGGGGTCTGATGAGCCTAGGCACCCTTGTAGCCCCAGAGCCAAGCAGTAGAGAGAGCCAGAAGAGGCCGCTAGAGATGAGATCTGAACGGGGCCACTGCTTGTGGGGACATCAACAGTGGGGAGGAGCGGGGCTGGGAGGAGCTGGGAGACTGGACTGAATCACTCCAAGGTCTGCTCAGGACCACAGCCACCCCCTGCATACTGTCAATCATAGCCGCATACGGTCAACGGGACCCGGGTCTGGGCAGCTGGGCCCTTGGTGCAAGCCACCGGCCCATCTGGGGAGGACTAGGGCTCCAGCCAGCAAGGTCAGCTGTCCCCTTTCTGGCTGGACCCTGTTCAGCCTGGCCAGGAAGTCTGGGGGCTGGGCAAGCAGAGCCTGATCTGGTGGGCAGTAAGGAGGGAGGGTGCAGCATGGTGAAGCACAGGTGGCCTTTTTGGCAGCCCCAGCCCTGGCTTCGGAAGGGTCTAGGCAGTTTGCAAAGCCCTCTTGTCCATTGACCCTCATGAATGAGGTGGCAAGGCAGGTACCTTTGGCCTCATATGGACAGATAGATGTTCAAGGCTCAGAGAGGGTAAGAGCCTGGCCTGAAACCGTTCAACATATCTCATTCATTCTGGGGTCTTCAGCGTGCAGTAAAGACCACTAAGCCTTCCTCTTCCCCCAGGAGGTCCAGCTGTGAAGGAGGGTGCGTTTGGTGTTTTCTGCCCCTCCATCCCATCTTCCTTCTGCTCTGTGTCTCCTCTTTTCCTTCCCCTGGTATCAGGCATGCGCCTGACAATGGGATTTAGTAAATGGGTTCAGAGGAAGGAGTTAGGGCCTTAAAGGGTTAGTTCTCTCGGGAGTGCTTGCATTTTCTAAAGAGGGCAGGGCTGAGCGTAAGTCTTGCTCAGATGTGGGGTTTTAAGTCTTCAGCCTCTCCTCTCCTTTGCTGGTCCCTCTTGTTCTGCTGGTAGGACTGTCCTGGAGGAACTGTGGGCCAGGGCCATTGGAGACAGGGCCTCATAGTTTGGGCAGTCACTTAAGTAATTTCATCACCTCCTGGAGCCTCAGTTTCCTTATCTAAAAAATACCACCCAACTCCCAGCTCCCACCCAGCCACCAACTCCCAAGGCTGTGAGTTGACTAAGTAGGACAGCGTATCATTGCTGAGCAGAGAGCATCACCTATGGGAAGATTCTCTTAGTTCCTGAGGGAGCCGTCCTGGCTGTGAGGGAGGTGTGAATGGGAGTGGGCTGGAGGGGCTGGTGGAGCAGGACCTATATGGGTGTTCTCCCCTAAAATCAGAGGAGATCTTAGACAACTCTTAGACCAGCTGCGGCCCAAAGAAAGGAATTTCTTATCCCTCCCATTCCCCCTGTCTGCCTGAGGTTAGTTATTCATCTAACAAAGATTTATTAAGCACCTACTGTGTGCCAAACTGGTGAGCAAAATGGACATAGCCTCTGCCCTCAGAGAATACAGAGCCTAGAGGGGAAGAGAACCATTTCCTACAAATACAGACATAAGCCCGGGCTGGGCCAAGTGCTCTGAGGTTATGGACTCTGGTCTGATCTAGTACTGTGTCCTCAGCACCTTGGCACTTAGTAGGCACTGTGATACTTGCTCAAAGGAGGCCGCCCTGAGGAGCTGATGTCAGAGCTGAGACTTGGAGGGTGGGAGTTAAAGATGGTTTCATGGCTCCCTTTGCCTTCTTCGTGGGTCCTGTCTCCCTCCTTACCTCCTCCACTCAGGCCAACGGTGAGCATCTCTGACAGGGATATCAGAATCTCCTGGTGTCCCGCACAGGGGTCAGGGTGCCTTAGGTGGCCCTGAGCACTGGGATGATTTGCTCAGATGGTGCATGTATCTGCCCCCCTTTTTGCGTATGTTCTAGAACTGGGTTCAGCCCAGAGATGGGGGTTGGGGTTAGGGGGTGGTCTGGATGGTGGAGGAAGGTGTGGGGCCTGCTCACCATCAGGAAACCTGACCGTTGGGCTGGGCAAGCCTCTCTGGCCTCATTTTCCCCTCTGTTAAGAGGGAATGATTGGAGTCATTACCTACGGTGCCAGCCGTGGGGCCTCTTGATCCTGTCTGGGAAGGGCAGGCCACTAGGCAGACTGCGGACCAGCGAGAGGGAAGGTGTCAGACACGAGGGCAAACCATAAATAGGCCCCTCTCCCAGAAGACCACTGAAAGTTCAAGACTGGCGCGGGCACACGCGGAATGAGGGCAGAGACTCCCGCCAGGAGAGAAAGGCACTTAAGGGAACTGCTCATTAGCATGAAATGCAAATGAGCCCGGCCTCATTTGCACAACTCGGCGCAGGATTTGGCGAAAGGGCAACCTAGGAGGCAGAAACCGCTCTGCCCTCCCTACTGCACTCCCCGCAACCCGCCCGGGAGGGGGCTGAGACACGCACCCCGCTCGGCGGGAGCCGTGGGTGGCGCAGCCCTAGGGGAGCAAAAAACGCCGGGGAGTCGGGGGTGGGGGTGGGGGGATGGCGGGTGTAGGAGGTCATCCGGTCCATCCCTCTGCCTCTCCTCAGTGGCGTAAGTGGCCCCGAAGTCTCAGGAGAGGGAACTGACTTCCTTGGTTCCGCTGTGTCTACCTCCCGCAGAGGTGGGGACGCCCTCCCCGCCGCACTTCACCCCAGCGCCCAGAACCCCGCTCCCGGGTACCCACAGCCTTTAGGGGTAGAGCTGGCGGCAAGAGGGAGCTGGGGCGCAGAGATCCCGGGGACTCAGGAAGGAGAGGCGGGAGGAGGGCCGGGGTCCACGTGCGTGCGCGCGCGTGGGTAGCAGCAGACCATCGAGGACCAGCTCCTGGTAGGGTGGAGATGTGCAAGGAGAGTAGCCCCGCCAATCTCCTGTCCTGCGGACAGCCTCCCCATGAGCTATTTTGGAACTCGGGAATGAGAAACTGAGGCACGGAGTGGGGGCTTGGTGGAACTTTGCAGGTTAAGAGTCGGCAAAGCCCAGATCTATGCTTCTACCTCCTCCCACACACTCGAGACCCTGGCAGGTCCCCTCGCAGGAACATCCCTCTGCTCCGCAGCTGCTCTTGGAGATCCGGACTCTGGGTCCGGCGTGACCTGCGTGGGGCCACGTGTTCAAGCACGAAGCCCTCTCCTGAAGCTCAGGAGTGTCAACATGAGATCAGGGTCAGAGGGTTAGTGTTAGGAGATTAGGGTCAAAGCCGCAGAAATGGGCCTGGGAGGAGCAACAACAAGCTCAAGAGGTTGGTGGAGGCCACGCCCAGACCTTGATGCCTCAGCCTTCCCTGGGCTCCGCCCGTTTTCCTAAGACCAGCCTCCTCCAGCCTGAAGCCCTACCCCCGGGACTTCCCGCTCCGCTCGCCCCTTCCTCAGTCCCGCTCCCAGGCTCAACTCCAGGGTGGGATATTAATCGGGTAGAGACCCAGGATTTCGCTCTAGGACCCTGGTCACACCCCTCACACCGGGCTGTCTGCCTTCCTTCTGCACCGGGCCCGCCCAGAGCTGAGCCCCGCCCTCCGGCTGCGGTCCAATTCTGGGGTCTTGGACAAAGGATGCCCGGGGGCCGGCGGCGCTATCCCAGGACCCCGCGCCAAATACTCTGATTCCCTGGGGCTCCCTCCAGAGGAGTCCCAGAGCCCCCACTGGCCAATAAGAAAGTGGGTTCGGTCTGGGTAGCCGTCTAATTGGATCCAGTCTTCGGGAGCGGACACCAGGGCCAAGGGGAGGGGAGAGGGGCGGTCCCGGGCTTTGGGGTGGGAACCGGATTCCAGCTGTGGCTCTCTCCCCAGTGCCCCCGCCCGCACTGCCACGGCAGCCGGCCAATGGGAGTGCGGCTCGGGGCCGGCGGCGCGCGGCGATTGGCTGCGAGCCTGGCTGGGGAGAGGCGGGGCCGAGGCTTGAAGTTGGAGTGAGGGATCCAGCTGTGGTGTGCGCCGGGCTCCTCGCCGCCGCTTTCGCTTGCTCGCTCCGCGTCTCGGCCGGAGGAGGCGGCAGTGGTGCCGGCGACAGCTACGGCAGCGGCAGCCACCGCGGCGGCTGCGGCGGCGGCATCTCCGCCTCCACCCCTGCCCGGGACGGCCCCCCACCACCTCCCCGCCCCTCCTGGACCGTGAGCCCGCCGCCGGGTGGAGAAGGGAGCCGCCCCCCACCCCCTCCAAACCCACCCCCAAAGAGATTCCTCCTCCCCTCCCCCGCCGCCGCTGGCGCGCAGCCGGGACGATGCTGACCCCTTAGATCCTGCTCCAGCTGCGCCGCGGGAAGAGGGGGCGACCCTCCCCGGCCCCCCTCACCCTCCACCCCCCTTTCGCTCTCCCCCTTTTGGGGCCGCTTCGCCGAAGGTAGTGCCGAATCTGGCGACCGGAGCCTGGGCGCGAAGCGAAGAAGCCGGAACAAAGTGAGGGGGAGCCGGCCCGGGGGGGCCCAGAAGCCCTGGGGAAGCGGGACTCGCGCCGGGCGGGGCTTCCCTGCGACCCGGCGCCCCGCGGGCAGCATGCCCCTGCGGGCAGGGGGAGCTGGGCTGAACTGGCCCCCCCGGGGGCTCAGCCTGCGCCCTAGAGCTCCCCAGATGCGCCCCCGCCGGGGCCCTCCGGTTGCGTGAGGACACCTTCTCTGAGGGGCGCCCCTTGCCCCTCTCGAAACCACCCGGGGCCCCAGCTGGCCAGAGGATGGACGAGGAGGAGGATGGAGCGGGCGCCGAGGAGTCAGGACAGCCCCGGGGCTTCATGCAGCTCAACGACCTGTCGGCGGCCGTGGGCCGGCCAGGGCCGGGGTCGGCGGAAAAGGACCCGGGCAGCGTGGACTCCGAGGCGGAGGGGCTGCCGTACCCTGCACTGGCCCCGGTGGTTTTCTTCTACTTGAGCCAGGACAGCCGCCCGCGGAGCTGGTGTCTCCGCACGGTCTGTAACCCATATCCTCCGGGGCACGACTGCCGGGCTGGGGGGCCGCAGGGGGGCGGGCCGCGCCGCCTGAGGGGACCAAAAGCCAGGTGAGTCGGAGAAGTGAGCCCGGAAGGTGGGCAGATGAGAGGGGGGCTGCAAAGGAGGGTAGGGGGCTTCGGAGTAGGAGCGGAGACAGGAGCAGGTTTGGCTGATACCCCAGGCGAGCCCCACCTCGGTACCCACACCTCAGTCCTCCTTGGGGTGTTGGGATCCAGGCGAGGAAAAGAGAGGAGACGCGCCCCACTGGTGTGCAGCTGGATGCTCTCCAGATGTGGGCAGGGGAGGGTCGTCATCCTCCAGATGTGGGGAGCTTCGGGAGCCTGGGAGCTCTATTCCGCCCGCCGCCGGTTAGCGAGCTGGGTTTGGTTTCCGAGTTTGGGGGGTGGGGTGGGGAGGAAGCTGCGGGGACGGGGGAGGGGGGGGACCGCAATCTCCTGGGTTTCCCTCCTGCCCCAGCTCCAAAGTTTGCGGTGGATTCTAGGGTCTGATTCCCCCACCCCACCCCACCGGCACCCACCCCGACCTGGTCCTTGAGGCTGACGTTTTTACTGCCCCTGAGGGAGATGTTGGGGGGCGGGGACCAGGTCCTAACCCCCCCACCCCCACCCCGCGGCTTGGAGGCACAATGAGGAGATTCCGGCGGCGGCTGATGTCAGGGGTGCAGAATGAGAAAAAGATGTGATGGAGGAAAGCCGTCTGCCCCCAGAGCCGGGGTAGAGACCCTTTCAGCAGGTTCCCAATGCTTAGAGTGCCTCCGTTTCCCCCAGTTCTTTATTCAATGCGGGGTGCTTAAGGTTGGGTTGGGGAGTTTTGTACCACATTTTTTCTTGTGGAGGGAAAGGTTGGCAGGAGCTTTGGCAAGCGGGGGATGGGATTAAGCCGGTCCAAGCTACCCATCCCCTTTCTATGGCAGTGCTCCCGCCTGATTACAGAGCAGGAATGGGAGACCGCAGCCTTCCAAGAAAGTATTGGGGGGACAGTGAGACTCTGAGCCGGTTCACTGGGGAAGACTCGGGTCCAGCACCCCATGTGTACTCCTTGGATAGGTTTGTGGAATGCAAGCCCCACATCCCAGGGAGATAGATTTAGCACTGCCCTCTATCCTCTGCCCCGTCATGAATTGCATGGGAGACCCCAGCCCCCTCATCCCCACGGCCTCTCCCCCTTAGCCCCTAGCACAAAGCACTGCTTGACTAATGCCTAGCTCCAGGCTGCGTTAGGTCCCGCCACTGCCAGAAGGAAGGGGGCTACGCTGCCATCCCTGGTCTTGACAGCTTCTCCTGGCACTTTCCTCCCAGCTCAGAGGCTCTTTTGGACTCAGGGTGGGAGATGTCGGGTCTCCCTTGTAACCCCTAAGAGCCCAACCGGGACTCTGCTTTGGGGAAGGTGGGGGGAGCTTGGCACCGCCCTCACTCTCTGCAGCTCTGCTGCCTCTAGTGCGCAAAGCAGGGATGTGAGCTTGGGTCCCCCCCAACCCCCATCCTCTACACCCTGTGGGTCTTTAGGAAGCTCCCCTCGTCGCACGCTGTCTCCACCCCCCGCCCTTCCTTTCTCTCTGAGCTGCAGAGATAGAGGGCTGCCTCCAAGATGTGTGGACCGGCTGAGCTGGAACATCTCGCCCACCCCCATCCCCCCACACCCCACACCCCCCCACCCCCTCGGTAACCCCAGGCCACTTTCTCAGGGGTAGAGATGGGGAACAAATGTCTCTGAAAAGAACAGGCTCAGGGCATCCCTCCTCTCTGCAGCTAATCACCCACCCTCTCCATGAATGTTAAAAAGCACCAGACCTGTCCCCTCCTTCTCAGGAGCCCCCCAGGGGTGTGTGTGTGTGTGGTGGTGGGGGACTGTGTGTAGAGAAATCTCCTCTCTCTTTTCCCTCCAAAACAACACAGACCTCTTGGCTAGCATCTCCCCACCTGCTCTATCTTCAGGTGCTAGTGGATGGTTTGGGGTCAGATTCCTTCCTTGAGGTGTTCTGGCGGGGGGGCAATTGGAGAGGGCTGGAATGACAGAAGAGAGGTGGAGGCCCAGTGCTCATCTTGGGAGTGGGGGAGCAGGCTTACCTCTAGGGTGGTGGGAGTCTGGGGTAAGGGGCCTTAGCATCGCTGGGTCTGGACAGCCCGCTGAGCCTGGATTGGCTGAGGATGGGTGGAGAACAATTTCTTGGCAACGGGGCTGCCTCAGATGTGCCCTCACCACTCTCATCACACCCATGTATCAAGGGGAACCTATGTTTTTCACTGCCGGAGGGCTTCTGGACTGACTCTTGGACCTCAGTCTTTCCCTCTCTCTTTTTGGTATCTGCGAGGCTCCCCCTGGCTGCACCTCTGGGCCTGAGGGACGTGAGGACACCTCCCCTCAACTAACTGAAGCTAGTTAGGCTCTTCTTGGCGTGCTTCTCGGCCCCTTCCTCTCTTAGCCTCTTTAAGAAACCAGGTTTCCTAGAGAGGAGATCTAGACCCAGGTGGGAAGTGGTGTGTGAGTGAGTGTGTGTGTGTGTGTGTGTGTGTGTGTGTGTGTGTGTGTGTGTGTGTGTTGGGGAGGGAGGGATGGCAGCAAAAGGAAGGAGGGGCTCGGAAGTGGTACTGGGGAGACTGGGGGTTCATGGTCAGAGTCAGAAAGGCCCCTCCTCCCAGGCTATAGGGGAGGGAGTGTGTTGGACTTTGCAGTATGTGTTTCTTCAAGTGTGAGGGAGTGCGTTTCCCCTCCCGGGAAGGAGATCCTGAGCGTTCCCTCCCGGGCTGTTGTGTCACATCTGGAAGTTTGTGTAGGAGTTTCTCCAAGCTCCGAGCCCAGCACAGCTTTTTCTCATTTGGAAATCACAGGCTGGCATTTGGGATGCCGAGAGGGGGAGTGGGAAGGGGGCCAGAGGGGGAGAAGGGAGCCTGCCAGGAGTGGGGGGAGGAGAAGGGGGAGGCCTGAACAGCAGGAGCCCTAATGGCTTCCAGAAGTGAGTGTGAGTGTGTGATCGCTGTGTGTTTCTGAGAGTGTGTGCGTCTGGAGGGGAGGGGGCACCCGGACTCTCTGGAGCGTTCCTCGCCACTGTCCCAGTGTCCCAAGTTCCCCTGTCTCTCTTACCTAGGGAGAGATCTCCATTTTGGTCCTCAGAGGAAATGGAAGGGGGGTGTTCTTCCTGTCTCCTCACCAATTCCCTCCTCTCATTTTCAAACCCAAGGCTCTCCAGAGGGAGTTCTGGGGAGAAGGGCTGCGGCTGGAGAGCTGAACTGGGCTGAGGGAGCCAGAACACCTCCTGGCCCTCTTTCTGTCCAGGCCCACCTTCCTTCTCGGCCACATACACACTCTGCTCCACCGAACTGTCAGGGGACTCCCCGTCCTGGAGTCTGCCAGTTGGAGCCATTCCTGGGATTACCCCCACCGCACAGCCCCCCTTCACCCCTTGCCTCTGCTCCCGCCCCAGCTCTCACCCCGCCCTGCCTGCCTCAGCCAGGATGGCGACAGACACAACTGCTCACACACGCAGACATACACACACACACACACACACACACACACACACACAGAGTCACAGACGTTTGAATCAGCTTTCTGGCCTATTTCCCCTCCCAAAGATTCCAGCTCTCCAGTGTCTCTGTGTCTCTCGTCTCTGTCTCTGGGTGGGGCTGGCTGCCTTTCTTCGGGCTGCAGTTTTCAGTTCAGCTGGAAGCCTCCCTCCCCACACACCCACACTCTGGAGCGGTCTGCAGCGGGCAGACCACCGGGAAACAGGATTGTGGGAGTTGGGGGGGGGGTGGGTGCTCAGCTGGGGGAATCCCCTTTTCAGCCTCCCTAGCAGGAGCCCCCTCCTGAGCCCCTAGATCTCACCCCACTCTGGGGAATGCTGAATCCCATAAACACCAGCCTCTCCGGGGGTGAATGAGGCAAGCACCCCACCTTCCCAACGAGTAGTAGGAGGCCAGGACTCCTGGGTCCAGGCCCTTTGCCTCTTCAGCGCTCTTAGGTCTCGGATTAGCAGGCTCCTAGCAGAGAATGGGGCAGCTGGGGGGCCTGCTTCCCTTCTCAGTCGTGCTCTGCCCTGAGCCCCTGTGCCCCTGGAGGCGGTCCAGCCCTCCTCCCTCCTCATTCTACCTTCCTCTCCCTTATAGCTGCCCAACTAGGCAAGGGCTCTAGATACAGCCCCATGGAGAGGACTAAGTACTCAGATAACATGCTCTAGTTCTCTCTCCTGGAGGGAGAGGAGGAGGAGGGATGGAAGTGGGGTTCCTCACCCTGCCCTTCCCTTTTTTCTCTGCTTTTGATGGTGGGTTGTGGGGAGACGAAAGATCCTCCCTTCTCCTACCCACCTCCCCCTTTGGGATCCACTCCAGCCCGGACAGTCACCATAGCAACAGTAGACATGTGACTGCACAGGTCTCTCATAGTCACTATGGCAACCAATGTCCCCCATTCCCTTGGTTGCCATGGGGATTTGTCACATGGTTCCCCCCCAACCGGATAACCTGTGAGTCTCCCCGCTTACCCTTCCCTGTGTGAGGACAAGACAGCAGCCTGGGTAAGGGGAGTCCATATGTGAGGGGGGGGGTCCCTTTAATTACCATGGCAACAAATCCACACCACCTGGTGACACATCTTCCTGTTGTTATGGCAACAGAGGAACATGGCACAGTGACATACGGCCATATTCCCAAGGAAATGAGCCCTACCCTGAGAAGGGTGAAAGACACCCCCCCTCATTAATTATTCCTTAATTCAGATTGTCCCAAATTTTCCTGTGCCTTGGTGTTTTCCCTGTCCGTTTATGTTTACCTATAGGGGAAGGGGAGAGGTGAGAGTGGCAGGATGTACCCGGGAGTAAGGTGGATCGCCAAGAGGGCTCTTGAGAAGGGGCTTCTGTGGTCAAGAGCTGGAGGTGGGGTTGTTTGGAGGCAGACTCTGGCTATAAGAAGCCTCAGTGTGAGCATGTGTAAGGTGGGGACAGACAGAGGGACAGCACCTTTATGGTGTCACTTCTCCCCCCACCCCCACTCATCATCAGTTCATCACTATTGAAGCAAACAAGGTAGGAAAACATGAATGGGGAGATACATCTGGCTTCTAGGCAGGGAGGCTGATTGACTGACTGACTCTTCATTCATTCACTCTTCCCATGTATTGATCATCTGCTACACGCCAGGCACCACTCGAGGCTCTGTAGGGGCTTGGGGGTAACAGAGTGCCCGTGCCTCAGCGAGGGAGATGAGACAAGGGCACAGATGACACTGCCATTAGAGGGGTCCACACAGGTGTCCCGGGAGCCCCTCTTCCCAGGAGAACTACCCACCTGCCCCTAGGTAGAGACATCTGCTCATATGGGTCCCTTCCAGAACCCTCTTCCCTATAGAGGAGAGGAGGGGCCTAGGTTGGGGAAAGCAGGCCAGTTCTTGAAGGTAATCGTGTCCTTCGCTTTTCAGACGATGGTCCCAAAGGAGCTCCCTCCCTGTCCCCTTTTTTCCAGGCTGACCCCTGGCTGACCCTTATTCTGGGGATAGGTCCACTGGGCTCCGGCTCCACGGAGGAAAACAGCTCCATGGAAACAGAGCTCTTTTAATTTCCCCCTTCCATCAACTTACCCCAAAAGCCTAGAATTTTTTTTTTTTTTTTAACTCTTATTCCTGTGAGGATGTAAGATTAGGGAAATTGTAGTGCCTTGGGAATGTAGGGTACCTGCTGGTGGGAAGGGATGTGAGTCTGCGGGAAAAGGGCCTGGGTGACAGGAGGGGGTAGAAGGGCTTTGAGGTGATTGGGTGTGGGCTCCCGGAGAGGGGGTGTGGTCTGAGGTTCAGGACAGAGATGGGGTATGGCTGGGATCAGCTTCAAGGTAAGTCCTTGGGTCCCTGGCCAAAGCCTTCTCACTCTAGAAGTGGAGTTATGACAGGAAGATTCCATCTGCGCTGGGCGCTCTCTGTCTCACTGAGTCTGGCTTGGTGGGTCGTGCTGTGGGCTGCCATGACACCCTCCCTACCTCCATCCTCAAGGCCTTCTCCTTCCCCTGGCCCCCCACTCTCTGCTTGTTTCTAACCTCTTTACTCTTCCCCAGCCCTCTCATGTTTTCCTTGAGAAAACAGGATGCTTGGTCACTTATCTGTGAGTCTGGTGCCCAGAACTTTCTAAGGTCCAGAGGCCATTTTCTACATTCTCCTGTAGATGGGCTGGAAGTGAGCCCCTTAATGAAATCCACTCTGTGGAAAGACTCAGGGTTTAGAAAGACCCCTCTCTCCCCCTTGTTGCAAAACAGAGTCTTTGTTGGTCGAGGGTGGGGCTTTGCTGGAAGCCATAAGAAGGTGTGATGGTGGCATGGTCTGTATACAGGGTACCGTCTGCTCTGCACAGGCTGGGGGCTTATGTCCAGCACAGGGCCTGGTGCGTAGTGGGTCCTCATTATTTAACTGTGTGAATGTGTCTGGAGGCCATGTGAGGGCTTTGAGAGGCCAGGGGCTGGCTGGGGAAGAGGCAGCCTGAGGCTCCAGTTCTGTGGTGCTTGTCTGTCTGGGGCCAGTGCGGTCGTGACAACCCCTTCCCTGCAGCCTGAGCAGCTATGGAAGCTGCTATCCCCGATAAGAAGCTTGGAAAACTCAGTCTCCTCTGGGTCTCTCCCGTGACCTTCAGCACACGACTTCTGGGCCTCAGTTTCCTTGGGTTCCGGGGAAGAAGGTGATCTAGCCCGGATGTTTCTCGGGGCTGCTGTGAGCATCCGATGTGACATGCTGTGAAAGTGCTTGGTAAACTGTAAGGCAAGCATAATCCGACTTGAGGTTTGTGTCACACATTCACATACATTATCTCATTTGCTTCTCACATTTTTCCCTGTGAGGTAGGGAGAATAAGATTCAGATTCAGCAGCAAACACTCGGTGCCTGGCATTTCCACAGGCACGATCGATTTCATCCCCCAAATGCCTTGTGCAAATAGTCAGGGTATTTGTGGCTTTTCCTACTTTACAGAAGAGGAAGCTGGGAACAGAGGTGAGATGACCCGAGCTGGGACTAGCCGGCTACACCTGGCTACATCTCAGATGGGGTGGGCAGGTCAAGCAGTGGGAGGTGCTGGGGCAGGGCGTGGGCGCCCGGGCTCAACTCCACCCTGGCCAGATGTTTCCTTGACCACCTGGTACCTGGTTTGAGCGCATCAGCATGTTGGTAATCCTTCTCAACTGTGTGACCCTGGGCATGTTCCGGCCGTGTGAAGACATCGCCTGTGACTCCCAGCGCTGCCGGATTCTGCAGGTGAGCATGTGTGTGGGGGCAGGAGGGGGCAGCTTCTGATTTTTATAACCTTGACACCTTCTCTGTGAGAGGCCCTGAGCCCAGAGGAGGGGCTGGGGGTGGGGTAGGGGGCTGTTCCCCCACCCTTTTCTCAGTTTCAGAAGCCTCTTGTCCCCACATCAGGCCTTTGACGACTTCATCTTTGCCTTCTTCGCTGTGGAGATGGTGGTGAAGATGGTGGCCCTGGGCATCTTTGGGAAAAAGTGTTACCTGGGAGACACTTGGAACCGGCTTGACTTTTTCATCGTCATTGCAGGGTGAGGGCCTGGGCTTGGGGCAGGAGAGCGACGGATCAGATTGGTCCCTTCCCCAGGACCAGTTCTAGGCCTGGCCCCCTCCCCCAGCCCATCTACAGTGCTGCTTTCTCCCTGGCTGTCCACGAAGGGTCCGGGGCTGTCCTGTAGTGCTTGAGCCAGTACTTCTCTGAATTCCAAGGCCCCTGCATCCACACCCTCCTCTGTTCATTCTCTGATAAGGAGTCTGTCTTTGGCATAGGGGTGGCCTTGCCCCCAGGGAGAGAGCTGGCTTTTCAGGGTCCCTTGGTGGAAGGGGAGGATTCCTGCCCCACCACAGCAGGATTCCTCATTGACCTCTTTTGACCCCCACGGCGGCCTCAGACTCAAAGGGCCTCCCTTTGGGCCCCTCCCTGCAGGATGCTGGAGTATTCGCTGGACCTGCAGAACGTCAGCTTCTCAGCTGTCAGGACAGTCCGTGTGCTGCGACCGCTCAGGGCCATTAACCGGGTGCCCAGTGAGTGACCCCTCAGCCCTCGGCCCCTGGGCGGAGAACCCCAAGAGGAGATATGGGAATCTCAGACCCCACCCCTACCTCCTGGCCACTCACAGGCCTCATGCGGGCCTGGAACACTGAGGCAGGCCCCCTGAGACAAGGGCTCAGTGGGGAGCTGGGTCGCTGGAGCCTAAGGGAACCCCCACCCGGGCTGCGGCCCTTCCCCCTCATTTCAGCCTGATTTTAGGTCAGAGTCTCAGGAATGTCTCAGATGACCCCTTCCCTTCAGCTAGATCACCCTCCCTCCGGTGGAATGGGGGCGGTGGGAGCAGGGTGGAGAGGCTGGCAGGCCAGGAGGAGTGGGTGCAAAGTGGGAGGGCCTTTTCTAGCCAGAACCGCCTCTCACGCGGTCTGGTTCTCATTGGTGAGACAGCACCGGCCACACCGAGCATGACTTCTCTCAAGACAAGGCCGCTGCACACCTCATCCTCCCGCTGTGTCCCCTTCCTCTTCCCACACCCTTCCAAGCCTCTGCAGCAACTGACTGCTGGGACAATTATCTAAATTAAACCGCATTAGTTTCTGAGCCAGCCAGGCTTTGGCAGCTCCAGCTCCCCTTGCATCCCGCCCCCCACCCTTTCTCAGGCCCCCTTTGCAACTCCCCAACCTACACAAGCTGCAGATGGTCTCTGCTGCCGTCCCAGGAGTGGGGTGGGTGGGGGCACGTTTCTGGGGCTCAGTGTCTGATGCAGCAGTAGCCCCCTTTGCTGCGTGTGCATGTGTGCCTGTGTGTGTGCCTGTGTGTGTGCCTGTGGGGTGTGTGTGTGTGTGTCTGGGTGGGCAGAGCTGCTCAATGTGTCCTCCAGGCGTTGGTGTCTGTTGGTGTTAACAGGAACCCCAGATGAGGGGCATGTCTTCCCTCCTCTCGCGCCCCAGGTGATCGCTGGCAGATTTATAGACCTCTAACTACTCGGTGTAATTCCCTTAATGCAAACCCTGAGGAATTGATCTCAGCTGGAGCACAGAGGAGCTGAAGGGGGCTGGGAGAGGGGAGAGGGGAGAGGGACTGAGTGGCAGGGGCGGGGCAGGGCCACTTCGGTCACCAGGAGCAGTAGTTAGCAGCTGCTTAGAAGCTTTTTCCCTGGAGGGGTCAGGGGGCCACGAGTGTCACTTTGGGGGTCGAAACTAGCCACCAGAGGTCTGTGTGCTTGACAAGGGTTTGGTGGCCTGGGGGCTAGTTTAGATGTCCTAGATCTGGAATGGGGAGGGAGGGCAGTATCCCTAACAGCATCTTAGGGGCATGTTTGTGGTGGCTTTCCCCGTGGAAGGGGTTGTTAACTGACGGCCACCTGTGTGTCCTCAGGTCCTGATGTGAGGGTCTGGACCAAGCACATACTAGACTCAGGGAGGGGCTCAGCACCATGGTGAAGCGCAGGGCATCTTGGCCCCTGCGGAGGGCTTGGCTCTCAAAGGGAAATTCCTGCCTGCTAACGCCCTTGCTGGAGTTCTCTGCCTTGGTTTCCCCAATGACTTTGGCGTCTATAACTTAGAAAGGTCAGGTGATTAGGATGTAGGGTGGGAGTGTGTGTGTGTGTGTGTGTGTGTGTGTGTGTGTGTGTGTGTGTGTGTATTGGGGAGTGGGATGCGGAAGCAGAGAGCCTGTCTAAGTCCTGGCACCTACACTTAGCAGCTCTGTGGTACTGGACAAGTCATGTTAGTTCTCTGAGCCTCAACCCTCATCTGCAAATTGGGGTGATATCAGCTCTGTGATGAAGCTGGGAGAGTTAAGTGGGATGCGGTGCCGGAGAATGCTTTGGAAACTGCGGCCACTCTGCTCATCCTTGGTGGTACTGTGCTCTGACTGGTGTGGGCAGGCCAAGAGGGATAGTGGGTAGGGGTTAGGGGCTGCGAGGGCTGCCTGCAGAGTTAGCAGTGTCTGTTGGTCTCCCTCCAGCTTGAGCCGGGCTGTCTCAGCCTCAGAGGCCCCAGTGGGCCCCCTCTGGGAGTGCTGCCAGGTCCCTGGCAGCCAGCCTAGCCCGGCTAGCCTGGCACCCCCAGCGTGGCTTCTGCCCCCACAGGCATGCGCATCCTCGTCACGCTGCTGCTGGACACGCTGCCCATGCTGGGCAACGTCCTGCTGCTGTGCTTCTTCGTCTTCTTCATCTTTGGCATCGTTGGCGTCCAGCTGTGGGCAGGGCTGCTTCGTAACCGATGCTTCCTGCCCGAGAATTTCAGCCTGTGAGTGGCACATGGGCCGGGAGGTGACCTGGGAGTGGCTGTGGGGCTGGGACCTCCCTCAGTTCCTGTTGCTGGTGACATATCTGTTCTCTTATTAGTGACATATCTGGTTATCAATCTTGGCTACACACTGGAGTCACCTGGGGAGTTTAAACAACGGCAAGGCCTTCATTCTCCCCACTGCCCATTTCGATTTCGTGGGTGTGGGGTTCAGCCTGGGCGTGGGGATTTTTAAAAGCCTAAAGTGCAGCCACGTTGGGAACCTCTGCTCTAGGATGGAGACTTCCCACGTCCCAACTCTGGAGTTTCACCCTCAATCTGCATGCTCCTGGCGCACCCCATCTGCACCCATGCATCCCTGCCCCTTCCCAGTGCTCGCCCTGTATGCCTCAGTTCATCCACCCAGCTCTCCCTGTCTGGGCCCTGTCCCCCGAGAACCCTGCTCTCAGCCTCATCCCTGTTTCCTCCGCAGCCCCCTGAGCGTGGACCTGGAGCGCTACTACCAGACCGAGAACGAGGATGAGAACCCCTTCATCTGCTCCCAGCCTCGCGAGAACGGCATGCGCTCCTGCAGGAGTGTGCCCACGCTGCGCGGGGACGGGGGTGGCGGCCCGCCCTGTGTCCTGGACTACGAGGCCTACAACAGCTCCAGCAACACTACCTGTGTCAACTGGAACCAGTACTACACCAACTGCTCTGCAGGGGAGCACAACCCCTTCAAGGGCGCCATCAACTTCGACAACATCGGCTATGCCTGGATTGCCATCTTCCAGGTGGGGCCGCCTGGGCGCTGGGAGAGTCCCCAGAACACAGTCCCGGCTTGCAGTGCTTGTCCTCGGGGTTGGGATGGGGTCAGGGCCTCCAGAGGAGACCGCAGGAGGCTTTAGGGGGCCCAGAAACAGCCTGCCCTCTGCCACCTCCGCAGGTCATCACGCTGGAGGGCTGGGTCGACATCATGTACTTTGTGATGGACGCGCACTCCTTCTACAACTTCATCTACTTCATCCTCCTTATCATCGTGAGTGATTCCTCAGGCCCCTGTGGGGATGGGGCATCCTGGGGAAATGGGTGGGGGGAGTCCAGAGAGGGGACCTGCTTGGCCTGAAGTTCTAGCTCTCAGGAAAAGTCCCATAGAGACACAGGCAGAAGGCACCTGTCATGAGGAGTCAGGAGGTAATCCAAGGTCAAGGGCTATCACTTACCACCACTTAAAATCTTGGGCAAGTCATTCCCTATGAGGCCCCCCAGCCCCACCCTGGGCATCTGTTTCCTCATCATTAAAATGGGTGGTCCTCAACCCAGGGTGATGCCGCCTCTCCCAGGGGGCATTTGGAAATGGCAAAGGGTGGTCCTGTTTTTTACGAGAACTAGGGGAGCACTACCGGCATTTTGCTGGGGGGGTAGGGTGTAGATAACAGGCACCCTGAAATGACAGTCCTGCAAACGAAGAATTGTTCCACCCCGATTCCCATCATTTGGTGTTGAGAAACACTGTGTGATCTCTTGTTCCAGCTCAGAAGTTCCAAGACTTTATGAGGATAGAAGACAGAGGCAAAAAGTAGCAATATTTAATCACTACCATTCATGATTAATAATTTAATTGCTACCACTTATAGCTAATATTTATTGAGCATTTACTATGTGCCAGTCTCTGCTCTGAGCACTTTTTCATGTGCTGGTGCATTTAATCCTCACCAAGAGCCTGTTGTTGTCTCCGTTTTACAGATGAGGAAGCTGACATTTCCTCATCTGTCTGACCCCGTCAGGTGCTTTGCATGTGCTGTGGGTTAGTCTTGCTGGGTTGAGCGTCGCTGCTGAAGTGCGCTGTCACGTCTGCTGCCTGCTTAATCCTCAGAGCCCCCTGTGGGGTGGCAGGTGCAGGGACTGTGGCCGCATCTCCTAAATAAGAACTCTGAGCTTCAGAGGGCTTGGTCACTGGAGCTGAGAATTCAACCCCAGGCCACCGACTCCAAATCCAGCCCTTTTTCCATGTCACCAAGAGGCCAATGACAGAGGCAGACAGAGGGACAGATATTGAGAGAAAGAGACTAAGATCTACTCAGGGCTTAGGCAGGCCCCAGAGAGTCAGAATAAAGACCTCTCGGTGAGTGGGAGGTGTCCCTGAGAAAGAACGACGCCCCACCCCCAACCATCCCTGGTATGGAAGCGTAGGGGCCTGTTCCCTTCCCCCCACCGTCACCTGGGTGGCAAGGCCAGCACCTCTGGGAAGTGGTTTCGTGACCTTTTCACAGGATCTTTTCACCACTCAGCTCTCCCTGGGCTTGGGGAGTGGGAAGGAAGCAGACAGAGAGGTAAGGGGCCTTGTTTCCACCCTCCCACACACCCCATGAAAAATCTTTCCAAACAGCTCTCTGGAATCACACTAGTGAAGCTAATTATCATAATTACTAGGACACAAGCTAGGGAAAAAAATCTGCTTCGTCACCATAAATATTCATTACCTTCATTCTGGTTTGTTAGCCAAGCAATTGCCACCCCAGAACCCCGGGGGAAACTGAGGCATGGAGGTGGAGATGGGGGAGTGTGGCCAAGTCAGAGTGGCAAGCTGGCTAGTCTGCAGGGTTCAGGGTTCAGCCCATTACCCAGCTGGGGGAGGGGAAAGGCCAAGGCCAGTGGTCACGAGGATACCGAGGTCCCATGGTTAAGGGTCGCACTCAAGCTTACGCAGCTAGACTTGGGACTAGAAGCAGGAGTTTTGTGAACAATGTTTTTGCCAAGATCTCAAAAGCTCAACCCGACGTGAAAACCCCACGTCCCCAAGATAGCATTCATTTCCACAGCCTTACCTAACTCCTAATGGGAATTGGGGAGGGGGTGCTCAGAATCTCGGAGGATGGGCATGTTTAGGGGCAGGGAGTCTGGGAGATATCCTTGCCAGATAACCTCATGATCAATGGCAATGCCTTGGAATTCCATAGAGGTTGGTTCAAGTCTAAGCTTTGCTGTGCATGGGCTGAATGATCGTGGGCAAATTCCTCAACCTCTCTGAGCCCCAGTTTCCTCACTTGTCAGATGGAGACAGTAAAGGTGTCCCCTCTTGAGATTGTTATGAGAATAAAACAGGATGACGCTTGGACAATCATTGAGCCCAGCGCCTGGCCCATAGGGAGCAGTCTGTACTCGGTGGCTGGCACTGTGACTCCCTGTCCTTCAGGCTGTCTCCTCTTGCTGTCCCCACCCCAATAGGTGGGCTCCTTCTTCATGATCAACCTGTGCCTGGTGGTGATTGCCACGCAGTTCTCAGAGACCAAGCAACGGGAAAGCCAGCTGATGCGGGAGCAGCGCGTGCGGTTCCTGTCCAACGCTAGCACCCTGGCCAGCTTCTCCGAGCCGGGCAGCTGCTATGAGGAGCTGCTCAAGTACCTCGTGTACATCCTCCGGAAAGCAGCCCGAAGGCTGGCCCAAGTCTCCCGGGCGGCGGGCGTGCGGGCCGGGCTGCTGAGCAGCCCAGCTCCCCGCGGGAGCCAGGAGCCCCAGCCCAGCGGCAGCTGCCCTCGCTCCCACCGCCGTCCGTCTGTCCACCACCTGGTGCACCATCACCACCACCATCACCACCACTACCACCTGGGCAACGGGACGCTACGGGTCCCCCGGGCCAGCCCACAGATCCAGGACAAGGATGCTAATGGGTCTCGCCGGCTCATGCTGCCACCACCCTCGACACTCGCCCTCTCCGGGGGCCCTCCGGGGGGTGCAGAGTCTGTGCACAGCTTCTACCATGCTGACTGCCACTTGGAGCCAGTCCGCTGCCAGGCACCCCCTCCCAGGTCGCCGTCGGAAGCATCGGGCAGGACTGTGGGCAGTGGGAAGGTGTACCCCACCATGCACACCAGCCCTCCACCAGAGATGCTGAAAGAGAAGGCGCTAATGGAGGTGGCCCCCACCTCTGGACCCCCCACCCTCACCAGCCTCAACATCCCACCCAGGCCCTACAGCTCTATGCACAAGCTGCTGGAGACGCAGAGTACAGGTGAGAACTCTGGGTGGAGGCACGTTGGTGCCCCTCACCCAGGGACCGGGTGATATCCCATCCCAGCCAGGACTGGGGCGTCTGGAGTCAGAAGGACAGGGCTTGGATTCCCATCCTGCCACTCTTGGCGTTGGGACCTTCAGCGAGTCACATCGCTTCTTTGAGCCCTAATTTTCTCATCTGTTAAAACGGGAATCATAATTCCTACACTGTAGTAATAACAACAGCTGTCGTGTAATGAGCACGTGCTACGTGCTCTGCTCTGTGCTGTTTGCAGTTGTGATGGATTGCTGTGTGCCTGTCACATGCTCCTCAGGCAAAACCCCACTGGAGCCTCTCAGCAGCTTAAGGGATAAACTTCCTTATCATCCCCATTTTACTGATGAGACAAAGGAGGCTCGGAGAGGTTGTGTGACTTGCCCGAGGCCGTGCCACTGGTGAGGGGTGGAGTCGGGGCCCTCTGACTCTGAGGCTCTATAGTCCTCGTTGCAGGTTCAGAGGGGAAATGGTATGTGACTGTGGTGAGCACCGCGTCCCGTGCTAAGGGCGCTCTTGTAAACATGAGTGTCACTCCGTCCCCATAGGGAGACCTGGGGCTTGGTGCAGCAGGTCCTCAGGGGCTGCTAGGCTGATGGGTGGAACACCCAGTGTCGAGGGGAAGGGAGCTGCTTGCCCCTGGGGGCATCCCCCAGTCAGGCAGGGTGGCACACCCTCCTCCACAGACAGACTCGCTGTAGCCGAAGCCCAGGCCCTGTGTTTCAGGAAGGATGTGGCACGTGGGAGAAGTGGGATATTTGTGGGCTGTTCTGTGGGAATGTGGGCTGGGACAGGAAGGTGCCGCCACAGAACGCAGTGGGAAGGGTTCTCGTGCCAGCTCCTCTACTACCCTGCCAAGGGGCGCCAGCCAGCCGCACACACGCATGGTTCTATTTCCTTCTGTGTAAAAGGCAGGGCTGGGACCATCACAGCTGTCAGTGGTGTTTACTGATGTCCTCCTGCATGCAGGCGGAAGGGCTGGGCCCCGAGCCAGGCGTCTTCAAATCCATGCTTTCTCTGGGTAGTCGCTGAGGTTTCTTTCGGCTCTCACAGTCTACGGTCAAAGCTGTATTTAAATCGACATTGGCGTCTTGGGATAGGTCACTGTGCACATGCGCAGTCTGGGGTGTGTGTGTGTGTGTGTGTGTGTGTGTGTGTGTGTGCGCGCATGAAGGTGTCTGGTGTGTGTATGTGCCCGTCTGCATGCACATGTCTGGTGTTCATATGTGCATGTGTCCACACGTGTCTGATGTGTATAGGTGCGTGTCCGTGCACACGGGGTGGTGCTCTTGTCTGGTGTGTGTGCACGCCCATGTGTGCACATGCCTGGCACGCGTGCACCGTGTGGTATGTATGGGTCTGTGCACACTTGTGTTTGGCTGTGTGTGTGTGACTCATAAATTGTATGCGTGTGTACACAGTACATGCATGTATGCGAGTGTGTGTCTAGTGCACATGTGCGTGTGTCTGGTGTGAGAACATACATGAATACACATGTATGGGTGTGTGTCTTAAGGAACCCTTGGAAAATGCTACTTAAAGCAGTGTTAATGCAGGGCTGGCTTCCCTGGGAAGGAAAGATGGTCTAGGCTCCTCCCTGAAGGCTCCTAGGTCAACGGCACGAACCCTAGGACAACCAGCGGTGACTGTCAGTGGGATGCTATTGGCATTTGGGGGCATTCTCTTACTCAGGATTGCCCACATTGCAAGTCATTCAGCACCCCTGCCCACCAAGTGCCTAGCACCCCCATCATTGAAAGAATCCCAAACTCCCCCACTCATTTTATACACACTCTGAGGGAAGGGTGACCCCAAGTTGGAAACCCTGGAGTCTCTAACCTCTACTCTCCTGTCCCAGGCGCCTGCCAAAGCTCTTGCAAGATCTCCAGCCCTTGCTTGAAGGCAGACAGTGGAGCCTGTGGCCCAGACAGCTGTCCCTACTGTGTCCGGACTGGGGCAGGGGAGGTGGAGCTCGCCGGCCACGAGATGCCTGACTCAGACAGCGAGGCAGTTTATGAGTTCACACAGGACGCCCAGCACGGTGACCGCCAGAATCCCCACAGCTGGCGTCGACGGAGCCTGGGGCTGGACGTGGAGCCCAACTCTGTGCTGGCCTTCTGGAGGCTGGTCTGTGACACCTTTCGGAAGATTGTGGACAGCAAGTACTTTGGTCGGGGAATCATGATTGCTATCCTGGTCAACACACTCAGCATGGGCATCGAATACCACGAGCAGGTAGGGACACGGGCAAGGGCACGGTCCCTGGGCTGGGGACCCTCTGACTTCCTCCCCTCCCACCCCATGTTCGGTCTCCTCTCCATGCTGCTAGCTTGCATGACAGGGAGGAGGACAGGAGGGAGATGCACCAATGCGGGGGTCTCTTTGGAGCATGAAAGCCAGTGAATGTCATACAGTCTCTGAGTGTGGAGGTTGCCCAGGGCAGGGGCAGGGTCTGAGCTGGGTGTGTTTCATCTGGGAAGGCTTCTGAGAGGAGGTGGGCTTTAAAGAATTTAAATGAGCGATGAGCATCAGATGGGGGCAAGGCCTTTTTGGAGGGACAAGTCACATACAGGGGGTGGGCTGGGCCCCCGGGCATTCACCGGACTCAGTAATTAGGGGTGTGATTGACTGGAGGCAGCAGGGGGCTGTGCAGGTGGAGGTGAGGAGTGGAGGGCTGGAGCCTGCCCCTGGGCGGGGTAGGGAGGGAGGCCATCTGCTCTTGGCCTCTGTTCTAGGAGCCGTGCTGTGAACGGGGAGGGCGGCTCTAGGTGGAAGAGAGCTCCCAGCATGGTGAGGGGACTTGAAACCATTACGCTTGAGGAATCGTTCTAAGAACCTGGATGTTTAGTCAGGAGAAGAGGAGGCTCAGCAGGGACAGGCGAGCTGTCTTCAAATATTTGAAGGGCTGTCATGTGGAAGAGGAAGCAGGCTTGTTTTGCGGAGCTGACGGCTGCAGGCAATGGGATCTGCGCTGAGGGGGAGGAGGCTGTCTTCTCTCGCAGAGCTGTGCAAGAACAGAAGGGGTGGCCTGGGGAACCCCACTGACCCCACTCCCACACTGGAGGTGGGAGCAGGTACCATGGGGCCTCACAACCGGCCTTGGCTTCATCCCCCACAGGAATCCTTTCAGAAGGCAGCCCTTCCCCCCAGTTTGGCCTTCCAGGTCACCCCCTTGTCAGATTCTCGGGAAACGAGGGAGGCCAGCAGGCAGGTGCTGCGGTTCACAGGCCCTTCTGTGCTCTTCTCCCCTGGGTGTTCTCACTGTCCTGGGGCTCAGGGAGGGTCGGGGCTGCCAGACCTTCCCTGGTGCCGACCGAAGCCAGGTACTGCCCCAACCTAATGGGTACAGGCACGTGGAGCCAGAGGGTGTGGAGTGGGCACGCACGCACGCATGCACGCACGCACGCAAGGGTGTGGCAGGGGTGGGGCAACCATGGGGCAGGTCCTGGGCTCCGCTGGGCGTGGCCACGGGGCAGTGCCGGGAGTGGGTCTGGGTCTGGGTCGAGGCTGGGTATCCTAGGTCCAAGCCCGGCTGGAGCAAACGTGCGATGTTCACTTTTCAGGGGGTTCTGAATTCCCTTACCGTCCACCCCACTCAGCTCCTACCCCAGTTGCCCTGTCCAGCCGGGTGCACCCCAGCCCCTCCCACATCGCCATCGACCATGTTGACGCCCCTTCCTTTTGCCTCAGTGACCCCCACCCAGCCGGCTATACCCTGTTCCTTTCCTATGGAGGTGAGGTGGAGGCGGGGCAGGACACCGGCTGCAGGGTCAGCAGGTGGGGAGTACGGCACTTTGGTGGGCGTGTTGTGTCTGGGCGCATGGCGCGTGGGTGTGTGCGTCTCACGCCTGCTCAGCCAGCCTCCTGGGGAGAGGTGCTCTGCTCTGTCAGGCTGGTTGTGGCGGCATTTTCTACTGCCGCAATCCAGGTGGCGGCAGCTCCTAAGCTCCCATTACGCCAGCTCCCGAGCCCGAATCCCAGCCTCCTCTCCCTTACCCCAGTTCTGGCCGTGGTCAGATGCCCCTCCCCCCGGGGCACCTCCTCGGCTGCTGGTGGCGGCTTTGAGTGTGCTGGAAAGAAGCTGAGTCACAGAGACTGAGGGCAGATGAAGCTGCAGCAAGAGGGCTTTCAGTTAGACATCAGGAAGGACACCCCCTTGGGGAAGAAGTCATAGCAAGCAGTCACGGTGCCTGCAACATCTCCTTATCCAAGCTCCTGAGGAAAGCGGGGGACAGCCTCCCAAGTCCTCAGCAGAAGGGAGTCCCCACTCAGTGGTGGCACAATGTCTGCTCCAGGGAGGAGTTTGTCCCAATACCTGGTTGCCGAGGGCCCCATAGGGGTGAGTGAGAGTCACCAGCAGGCCAGGCAGAGGACTGACTGCGGCCCCGGCAGGCTCTGGGGCTGGGAGCGGTAGAAAATCCCAGAAGCAGCCGTGGCCCTGTGCTTGCAGGCGCTGCGGCATGAATGTCCCGCCATCTGGGTCCCTGAGCCTGAGCAGGCTGAGGGGAGCAGGGAAGGATGCAAGGAGACATGGAGGCCGAAAGACAGAGACACAGAGGAGGATATGGATACACAGAGGGAGACAGAAAGAGAAAGGGAGGGAGAGACAGAGATAGGGAGATGGGGGCACAGAGAGCAAGATGGAGACCCAGGGGGAGAGAGATAAAAAGACGGGAAGGCAGAGACACAGAGACAAGAAGGTCAGAGATATAGAGAGGGAGATGGGACTCACGGGGAGGAGACAGAGACAGGTGGAGGCACAGAGATGTAGGGGTGACGCAGACAGATGTAGGGGTGACACAGACAGATACAGAGAGGGAGCCAAAGACAGACCAAGACCCTGATGTAAACAAGGATAGACGGAGCAGGCTCCAGTGGAGCCTCAGATGAAGGAGAGGAGGAGCCAGTTGAGCAAGAGAGCTGAGAGACACAGCAAGGAAGAGCGTCTGCAGATGCTCAGAGGCGAGGACCAGAGGCTCATGGCTTCCTGCAGTGCTCTTCATGAGGCAGTTGTATCCACCGATCTTGGTGTTGGACACTGGAGAGGGTGTTGCTGGTGCTTCCCTGGGGGAGGAGCCCAGCCCGTTGCTGGTGCCCTTTCCAGACCTGTCGTCTCCCACTGTCACCTATCTTACCCATCATTCGGTTTTCCTGTCTAGAACAGGAAAACCTGCTGCTCTCTACCAACCTCTTGACCAAGGTAGCATCCATTCTGTCATACCCCACGCTGCCCGAGGTGGGCCACATGCTGTCCACACTCTCCTGCTTTTCCCACCCCTTAACCCACCAGCTGGCGGAGAAGTGGCAGGTAGTTTGTGCAGAGAGACTGGTGAGGAGGACAAAGACACAGGACTCCGAGGAGGGAGCAAGACTATAACTTCAGATAGGAAGTGTGATCTGATGGAGGGTGGGCTTGTGTGTGCCCCACCCACTAGGGGGCGGTGCCTGGAACAGGGAGCTTGTGAACTATACATCCATCCATCCATCCATCCATCCATTCCACACACATTTTCTGTGCATCAGAGTTGGGCCTAAGCAGTGGCATGCTGATAAATGTTTAATAACCAGCCCTTTAAAAAGAAAAAATTGTCCTGATTTGTGGTGTTTACAGGATTTGCCAATTTCCATGGTGTAAATGCTTCTACTATGGCTGATTTCAAGCTACCAATGTGATGTCACTGCATGTGGGGCTGGGAAGAGAGGTGCACAACCAGACGCTCCAGTACAACGCTGGGCCGGGGCACTCTGTCCTTCCTCTCCAAGACCTCACCGACAAGTAAACGTCACACTAACTTGATGTAATACGTGCTTGGAAAGGATGCACAGAGGAGTCACCCATGACCCAGACTGGGGAAAGGATTCAAGGAGGGCTTCAGTAGGACATGACCTAAGAGCTGAGTTTGAATGGAGATTGGGAAGTAGCTAGTGAAGGGTAGAGGGTAGGGCACAGCATGGGGGAGGGCCAGAGGCACCAGACACAAAAAATGAAGAGATTTATAAGGAGTTCAGAACGAATAGGGCACTGGGTGGGGGCTGGAATGGGCAAGTAACAAGAGATGAGTTTGGAAAAAAACTCAGAGCTAGGTCCTGAGAGGCATAGGAAGGAGTTTGGATTTATTTTATCCTGAAGGTGACAGGTTCCCCCAAAAGGTTTTAAGCAGGTCGATGATATGTGTTTCTGTTCTATGAAAAGGCCTCCGGAAGCCACGTGGGGAGTAGAAGGGAGAGGGAGACAGGAGGCAGGGAGGCCCACCAGAGGGCTACTGCAGTGGTCTGGCCAGTTCATACATCTCTGTCCCTGGAGACAGAGAGAAGAGTGCCGGGGAGAGCTGGCAGGTAGCTGAATCTGTAGACCTCAACACCAGTTGGATATCTGTGGGGACGAGGCGGCGAGGATGACACCCAGGTTTCCGCTTCAGGGGCAAGCACTGGGGCTTGTGCAGAGTTGGGCTGGAGGGCATTGCATACAAGGTGCCCGTGGGACATCCAGCGTGCTGTTGGAGCACAGAAGAGAGGTTGTCTCCTGGAACCTGTCTCTGCCTGAGTATGCGGGGGGGGCGAGGCCCCTCCAGAATGGGGTCTTAAGGACACAGGAGCTTCCTAATCACCCCCTTCCTGGTTTGGGGCTGCTGAGGGCAGGGGCCAACCTCATATTCTAGAAGAGGGACAACAGCATGTGGGGAGGTGGGGAGGGCACACAGCCCAGTGGTCTCCTGGCCTGCAGAGGAGAGAGAGGGAGGGTCCCGAATTCACAGCCTTTCAGGCCAGGGGAGGACAGGGCAGGTGATGATTCTGCTTGTTTCCCCATCCTGACACTCTAGATACACGTCCAGGGAGCGTTTCTATTTATAAGTGAGTGAAGTCAGCTGTTCAGGGCAAGGGAAGCTGGTGGTGGGGTGGGGTGGGGTGGGGTGGGGGAGAGTCCAGATGCGGTAGGTCTTAACTTTGAGGGAATTCACGGGCTCCTTCTGGATTCTGCTGAAAGCTGGGACCCTTTTCCCAGAAGATAGACACAGGCATGGATATACCCCAGTGTGGCCTTCGAGGACAGGGGTTTACAGACACCTGTCCTGTTCCTTGGGCCTCCCAGGAGTCCTTGGCCTCCAGGCAGAGGAGCTGGGGCTGAGGGCCAAGCAAGACCTGGGGGGATGACCTTTCACAGTTGCCCTGGTCCCAGACTTTCAAAGGTCCTCCAGAGGTGGGAGGGAGAAGGGTGCTGTTTTGGAGATGGCCAG